CTGTTGAGTTCGTAGGTGTTCAGAATGGTTTGATCCCTATCTAGCTGAATTCCTGGGACCAGATGAAATTTAGGTCTCCTACTCCTCTGCCATCTTGCTCCGCCCCCCAAGAAGAATATATTTCAATATTTTTACAACCTATACACATGAATACCAGTCTTCTGTAGAAAAGCATCTGACACATAGTAGATAGTCAATAAATATTTGTTGTAAAAAATAGCTGAATAAAAGAACAAATGTAGTAAGAACCTTGCAGTCTTAGAACTCTATTAATGAGATTCCAGAACAGTCAATGGCAGAGACCTACAGGCCCGGAGGTGATGGAACAAACAGGGCAAGACTGTCCATTTAGAAGGGGTGTCCAAGCTTTGTGCAGTGGCAATATCGTAGCCAATGAGGTTTATCCGAGGCACGATTATTGCTAATAGGAGGGGTATCCAATTTATGTTTGAAGTTGAAGACAAGAATCCATATCCCAGAAATTTTATGCCAGTGTTCTGAGGCTTGTCAAAATTGGGAGTAGACAGACAAAAAAAGGACTGATTCCACTTTATGAGGTTCCCAGAATAAGCAAATTCATAGAGACAGAAAGTAGAATAGCATTTACCAGGGATTAGGGCAGGGAGAAATGAAGAGTGTGAACATGTAAGAAAGTTTTGACTATGTGTTTTTATTAGTGGGTGTTGTGGAGGCAAACCCAAACTGAAGAGTTTTCGTACAGAGGACTTAATTCCACGTGCCAGTGAACATTAATGAATTAGAGATAAGAGATAGGTGGGATCTGGCAAATAATTTGCTCTTCCTTCCAGTGGACCGTTTGGAGGACTGATGGCTTCATGCGATCTGTCCGAAGATACTAGACAACTGTATCTTTCCTTAAGCTGTGATCAGCTCAGTAATACACCCCCTTAGTTTGCTTTGTCTCTGTCCCTGCCTTAGTTCCCTTGCACTTTTACCTTTGCTGCCCTGGGATTGTACCTCCCAATAAAACATTAATTAATGTGGAACATTAGTTAATATTATAATGTCCCTCTTATGTGCTCCATAGCATCCCTTGCATTTGTCACTGTATATTTTAATGACCTTTTGGTTTGACTTTCTCTTCCAGTAAATTGTGAGCTCCTTATGGGAGAGACTGTGTCCTTTCATTTCATTTTTGTATTCCAGGGTCTAGTGCAGTATCTGGTACCTAGCTAATGCCCAACCAATATTTGTTACTATTGAATGAGTAAATAAATGAACAAAGCAGACAAAGCTAGCAATAATTCTCAAACACATCCCTGGAAAATCAGGCCATGAATGGTCTGATTGGGAATGAATATTCAAGCCAAAGCAACATTATGATAGGATTTTTATTTCAGTCTATGCCAATATTTCTGAGCACTTACTCTGGGACCACTGTGTGCTCTTTGTTATTTCTTATTATAAAATAATTTGGTTTTCTGATCTGTAATTATATCCTGGGTGAATCTGGGATTGTGTGAGCCTAGTGTCTTATGTAACAAATGAATTATAAAAGCCCGGAGGGAGTACTCCTACGTGCCAAGAGCTTTTGCCTTATTTATGTCTGAACTGGTGTTTAAAGCTCTGGCCCTGAAGGAGTGAACCCATATCCACTTCCATACTCACCTTCATCCCCATCCCTGCCAAGTACCTGCAGCTAGTGAGGCTGGCTTAAGGGTACCATGTCTCACCCCCTCCCTACTCCCTCTCCCTCCTCCCTGACCGTCCTGCACAGTGTGCAAGCAGAGCCTGCCTAGAGGGTGGGGTAGAAGTTGGGTAGGAAGGAGAAACTATCAGAACTGACCTGCCCCAATTCTGATGACAATTCCTTCATGCTGACAGTCGGGACAAGGACTAAGGAAGGTAGAGGAAGAATAGGAAAGAGAAACAGGTCAGCATAATGCAAAAGAAAATAGGAGGGGTTTTATTTAAAATTTCTAGTTGTTACACAACCAAATCTGGGCTTGGTTAATGAGACCAAGGGCCTTGGCTCTGGTCTTAAGGTCTTAAGAAGGTCTTAAGAACATCTTTCTGTCCCTCTTTCCTCCTGTTCCTCTCTTAAAGCTAGGTTTTTCATGTCTAACTGGGAAATTAGGGCATCATGGGGCAGTAAAAGTAGCACAGGGTTAGAATTCTGGAGATTTGGAGAGTGTTCCTCATCTGCAACTGACTTGCTGGTGACCCTAGATAAGTCACTTCCCCTCTCTAAATATATGTTTCTGAATCTATAAAATAATAGTTTGTTGAGCTCCTTTGCAATGTCTGCATGATATATGGTCCATGAGTCTACAATCCAATCAACTTGCTTCAGCTGAAAGCTACAGCTATGATCTTTTACTAATAAATGTTGAGGATATTCTGTCCCATCTGGGTCATGGCATGGACATTTTTGCACTTGTTCCCACTGCTACTTCCTCTTGCTGGCTTGTTTCCTTGTGTGGTTTGTAACTTATGACTCCTGAGCTCCTTTTCCACTGGGGTTTGCTATGGGAAGCCAGTTTGCTCTGGTTCATGCAGTTGTCCCTCCAAGGTGGTTTTAAATTTGTCTCTGCTGAGGCCTGATACTCCTACTGAACCAGTGTTTATGTTAATTTCTTGCTTTGGCCTCAGTGTGAAGTAAGACCTCACATTTGCATGAACACAAGCCTGGGGTTCTGATACCTCTTAGAAGATGGCTATCATCTCAACCATTTCCCACAGGCAAGTGGTTGGAGTTTTTCTCATCTGCAGGTGGTGGCTGAGACAGACAGCCTCTCTTGACTCCCAGTCCCCTGTGAATATTGTACACAGGCCCAGTGGCCTAGATCACCTCCCAGAGCCCCTAATGCCTCGGTACCCCGTTATGACTCAGAAAGCCCCTTAGCCACAGAACTTTAGCTTCACTAGCTGCTCTGATTTCGAGTTCTCTTTCTGACACCAAAATATTTCCCTTCCTTGGTTTTGAGCTTGAATCTTTGTGTTTGAAGAAATGTATCCCTGCATGTGTCTAAGGGGGAGAGGAGCCCTCCACTGGTTGAGTCAGCCCAACCAGCCACATTCTGCCATGTTATGGTTACTTTGTATGGTTGATTTCTCATAGATATACTTGGGGGTGGCGCACAGGCACTGTGGTATCAGGGCTTTTGGAGGCAAACTTTCCTGCTATCACACTCCTCCTCCCAGTAAGAAAACTCCTTCACTGAAGTTGAAGTCCTTTCTCCAGAGGCAACAACTCTGTTTCCACTGGGAGAGCTCAGGCTTCCAATGTGACCTGCCTTTCCCTCTTGCTGCACCCCCAGGAAAAGATGGAGAATAGCTATTCTCACAAAGTGACAAGAACAGAACTTTTCCAGAGCAGAGAGAGGGAAAGAGAACATCTGGTCACTGCACAAGTAGGATGGAGAGGGAAGGATGAAGCAAGCCGAGCTCCTGGGGTGGAGAGAGGCCTGAGACCAACTTTATTGGTATTGGGATGTTAACAAGAACCACCTCTTCCCTCCTTCCCCTTCACTTCCATGGTGTGTTTGTGTGTAAGTGGTATGTTGTGTGATTGTGTATGAGTGTATTGTGTGTGTGAGAGAGTACTGTGAGTATGTATGTGTGAGTATATATGTGTTCGTGTGAGAGAGGACTGAGTTTGTGTGGAGTGTGAGTGTGTGTGTGTGTGTGTGTGTTTAAAGTGCACAGACAAGGCACCGGGAGTCAGGAGCAGTAAGCTTGAATCCCAGACTTGTCATTCTCTTGCGAATTGCTTCTCTTCCTCAAGCCTGTCACTTCTTCATTCACAAAATTAGAGGACTATATTAAATTTACAGATTATAAGCATAATTTTAGTAGTGGAAACTTTATTTTCAAATGCAAGCTCACACAGAAACTAATATTTAAAACATGTTTAAAAAAAGGGGGGGGAATGCCTTGATTGATTGAACAAGGGCCAGGGCCCCAAAGCCCAGTGGCTTCCTCTCCTTCTCACCTCTTGGAAAAGGCCTGTACAGATCCCTGGGACCCCTGGAACACAGTATGAGAAGAGCATAAAACAACATGTACTTTCTCCAGTTTATTTCAGTGAGGCATTACAATTATGATCAGAAGGAGGAAAGTTTCTCAGCCATGAAATTCACACAACAGAGCTGAGTGGCATGATTTCCCTGAAAACAGGAAGTCAGAGTTGCCAGACTGAGAAGGAAAGATCCTACACCGCGTTCTTGGTTAGAGCAGTTTCACCTCATCTTGGAGAAGCTGTTGACAGGCCACCACCAGCTGTTGTGGAGTGCTTGGAAGGCTACTGGGCTGTAAAGGGGGTGCTTTCACTAACCAACTGGGAGCCGTTAGCAAATCATGTCACCCCCCAGAGCTTCAAGTCTTTATTTGTGCAAAGAGGGGAATGGAACAGATTAGTCACTGGTAGGTCACTTACAGCTCTAAAAACTTTCTGAGATACAGGCGTATGATTAATGTACTCACAAAAATCTATTGTGCACAGAGTATGTGTCAGGCACCACTTGCTTAGCCGTGGAGATTGTAGTCTAATGGAAAGACAGACATTGAACAATGATGAATTGTATGAAAGGGCAGTATGGAGGGCTAAGAGGACATTTGGGAGGGCCTCAGCTTGGACTAGGGGGTCGGGATGGTCCTCCAAGACAGAGAGAGAGATACACAGAGGCTCAGAGAGAGACAGAGACAGAGCCTGAGAGGGAACCTGGAGAATTATGGGAAAGAGGTCGAGATTGACTACAGAGTAGGAACAAGGGTGGGATTGGAGCAGAGGTCAGAGACAGCAGCGACCTACATGACTAATGCACCAACCCATTTCTTGACTGGGTTGGTCTAGGAGCACAAGGTAAAAATGCTCAACGTCACTTGGCATCAGGGAAATCCAAATCAAAACCACAATTAGATACCACCTCACAATAGTCAGAATGGCTAAAATTAACAAGTCAGGAAACGACACGTTGGTGAGGATGGGGAGAAAGGGGAACCCTCCTACACT